TGGAAATAAGTGTCAGACCAGAGGTGTTTGTATTTGATCCTAGAGGTAACTGGTTTACATCAGGAACCTAAGTTAGAGTGCTGCCTTGGACATATACTGACTATGTAACCCCGGGCCAGTTTTAAATTCTTAGTGCCATCTCTGGGCAAATCTGTAAGACTAAATTGGAGAGCAGGTGCCAGTTTGTACTAGGAGAAGCATTTTTCTTACCAGGAGTTCCCTATATCAATTAAATAACTAATTTGATTTAAAAGATAACTTAAGGAATAGGCCTTGGAATCATCAAAATCTGGGTTCAAGCCCACCCTGTATTGGTTGAGAGCCTGGGCAAATGCTTAACCTCTTATTAACTCAGGTAACTCTAAGAGTGGATAGAACCCTGGACCTGGAATGAGGAAGACCTGAGTTCAAATCCTGATTCAGACAATTACTAGCAAGCCAGCTAGCCTCTGTCAGTCTCAGTTTCGTCATCTATAAAATGGGGGTAATACCCACTTTGGTTGTTGTGAAGATAAAATGAGCTAATATTTGTAAAATGTTTTGCAAACCTTAATGTGCTATATAAATGCTGCTTATCATCATCATTATCTAAGATCTGCTCTGGTAGAAGAAGTTTCCACATCATATGATTTCCTATATGGGTGAAATCAGAAGTGTTACTCTTTCTCTAATATTTCTCCTTCCCTGAAGTTATTTTATATAAAATAATTTTGTCACTGCTGTTCTTAATTTCATTTTACAGGATCATTCTATTTAGGGTTCATTTGGAATCACTCTGCCCAGTAGTTTTTTATCCACTTATTTCTCCTAATGGGCTAATCAGGTTAGTTGACCTATAGCTACATAAGTTGTAAGAGACTGAGGCCCAGAGGTTAAGAAGCAATGATGAAATCACATACACAACAATTATAGCTGACCTATAGCTACATAAGCTATAAGAAGAGATTGAGGCCCAAGAGTTAAGAAACAATGATGAAGTCACATACACAACCATCAAAATTATGTCTAATTCATTGCTTGGCTGACCAAATACCATGTACCACTTCTATCATGAATCCCCATGCCACTCACATTCTCTTGGCAGGTTTTTTCTTGTTCCTCCCGACCGTAGTTATTAATGCAACTCTTCCTTTCTGTTTACCCTATTTTCCTCCTTGAGTGACCAGGCTCACTCAAGTAGTCTGCTACCTGTTCAGAATGCAAAGTATATAGAATGTGCTTATTGGGGTAGGAATATCACCCCAGATTTTCCACCAAAGAACCTTGGGCATTTATGAAACCATTATATCTTTTTCAGCTCTTTTCAAAAATATGGGTTATATGCCATCCATTTTCACAAATAAACTGAACACTCCTTGAGACAGTGGCACCATCCTACATATATCGCGACAGCTTGATCCAAATGCAAGAATCTGTGAAACTGGATAAACTCACATAAAAATGGATGCAAAAAAAAAATCAGCCCTCCTTCAGAAAGCATCAAACATTATTATTCACTACAAAATGCAGCCAGTGAATGAGACACTCCCTGAAGCTCAGAGAGTAAGGAAATGGTGCAATGTAAACCTAGTGAGGATCTGAGGTCTATGGAGACCTCATCCCTTAAGTAAGTGAAAGCCAAACAGAAACCAGGGAAATAGAAAGGAAGAATCAATCACAACAGAATTAAACTGCCAAAGGTGGGGGAAGGCAATATTCAAGCATCCATTAGCATGGTTGATCAAGCCAAAAATGACAATCCAAGTATCAGCTTTGCAAAAGCATTTGGGCAAAATTTTGCAGTGGCTGTAACATGTCTTTTAATTTTCTTGGGAATCAGTCTGCAAAATAGGGCTACCATCCACCCGTAACCTGCTGAATTCTCTCTGCCCCTTCCTTTCTTTGTATGAAGTTGTTTGTATTGATACATATGTATATTGATGTATATGTACCTGTTTCATGTTGTAATTGTAAATATTACATTTATACCATTGATAGAAGATCTACATGTTTTTCCCCAATCTCATCTCAAAAGTGTCAATCACTTGAATCAATTGACTATTTTTTAAGTGCCTGCTCTATGCATGGCACTATGAATGCTAGATTCTTGGGAGAGATCTAAAGATTTGATCCTTGCCCAGATCATGATAATATCCTTCCCTACTGCCTTCAGATATGCCTTCCCTATCCTTATAAATACTTCACTAGCCCCTGCCAGCCTCTTAAGCTATTTTTCCTATCTCTCTTCCTATCTCCTCTCTTTCTTAGCTAAACTCCTTGACACAACTGTATACACCTGTTGCTTTCGCTTCCACTCCTCTTATTCTTCCCTCAACCCTTTGCAAACTGGCTTCTAACTTCATCAACTGAAACTGCTCTCTCCAGTTACCAATGATTTCTCAATGAACAAATCTGATGGTTTTTTCTTACTCCTCATCTTTCTTGGCTTATCTGCTGCATTTTTGCCCACTTCTTCCTCCTGGATACTCTGTCCTTTCTGGGTTTTTATGAGTTATATCATTTATATTTGATTAAAATGGTATTTATGATTATTTCTAGAGAAAAGGTACATAGCTGCTTATTATATAGGATTGTTTCATGGGAAAGTCAGATTCCATTTCCAGCACATTTTCCAAGAAAAAATTCAAGAAAATTTCCAAAAAAATCCACCACTGTGTAGATATAGAGGTAAAAAGCTAATTAAGGTTTTGACAAAGTTTGTTATTAGGTGACAAATATGCCTTACTAGATTGTAAGCTCACTGAGAGCAGGGACCATGACATATAATTGTGTATTCCCCACAGGGTCTTTTGTGCTTTGCAAATAGAAGTTGTTCACTAAATATTTCAGCTGAGCCATGAGGTTATGTTGTTTTCTCTTCAGTTACTGACTTAAAACCATTAAGATTAGGAAAATGATTGAATTCCTGAAGTAAGAATTTTTTTCCTTTTCAGTTCAATATACCCTTTGGGATAGGGGCATTTGTAAAGCCCAGTCAGAATGGGCAAAGTGTAACCTTATTACAAGAAGTCTTGGCACTATTTTTTCCCCTATAAAAATATTGGTTCAGAACATCATGATCAGGAAACTGAAATATACATGAATACTGAACAGATTGTGTAAAGAAAAGCATTTTTTTGTGGTCCCAATCTATAATTTTATAGATTGGGGAACTCCTGGTATGAAAATTTTGTCCACTGATGCAAATAACACTTTATGTGTTAACTTATTGTCTTCAAAAATATTTTTGTACCATCATGGAAAATTTTGAAAATATGCAAAATTCAGTGATGGGGTTCTACTATTTAGCATTGCATAGGAACCTTAAAATTTAAACAAATTTAAGAAACAACTCTTTACAAAGGCAATTTTACTTTGAAAAACTTTGAAATAATTTTTTTTTGCTTGCATTTTTTAAAGCCCATCATATCCTGGCTCCAACCTGTCTTTCTACAATTATTTGTAGGACAAAACTAAATCCTACACCCAATTCCAGGTAAGATTAGTGTCAAAATAATTGAGACAGATTTTTTTTTTCTCTTGGGATGTGAACTACCTGGCTTTCAGTACCTAGGTAGGCAGTCCGTTTTCCTACATCTTTTAGATTTCTCATACTTAAACATACAATTGGAGCAAAGGCATCCCATGAAACACTGCAACAGAGACATTCCATTGGACCCATACTGAAAAACTAAAGATAGTCATTTCCCTTCCAGCATCTTGAGTCTAGCAGAAAACATTCATAAAGTATATTGCTGCTGCTGCTGCTGTTGTTTAATTGTTTTCAGTTGTGTCCAACTCTTCATGACCCCATTTGATGTTTTCTTGCCAAGGTACTGGAATGGTTTTGCAATTTCCTTATCCAGCTCCTTTTACAGATGAGGAAACTGAGGCAAACTGGGTCAAGTGACTTGCCCAGGGTCACACAGAAGTCCCTGAAGTCAAATTTGAGCTCGAGTCTTCCTGACTCCAGGCCCAGCACTCCATTAATGCCACTTAACTGCTTCATGAATTTAGGTACTATCATTCAAATTAGGGGCCATTACGACTCCAAAGCAAAGTTCAGTAAGAATTTATCAAGTGTTTATTGCCTATCATGCACACATGCTGGGACTACAAATACAAAAGTGAGATACACTCTGCCCTCAAGGAGCTTATGTTCTACTGAGAGGAAATAACACATATCTAGACAAATAAATGAAAACACACACACAAACACACAGCAGATTCAAAGTCATTTCAGGGGATGGGTGGGAGGCCACTAACAACTAGGATGAAATCAGGAAAGGCCTCTTCGAGGAAGGGGTAATCGAGCTGAATCTTGAAGAGAGCTAGAGATTCCAAGAGGCAGAGGTAGGGAAGGACGATGGAGGGAGAAGATGGAATTCTGTGCTTGCAGAAAAGCAAGAAGTTCAGTTTGATGGAGGGGGTGGGGATGGGAGGGAGGGGTCAGAACACAAGGGGAAGGGCACAGAGTGAGAGAGAGAGGAGGGGGAGGGAGGGAGGGAGAGAGAGGGAGGGAGAGAGAGAGAGATATGTGCAGGGAGGCAGTTATTGTAAACCATTGTAGAAAGACAGTTTGGAGTCAGATTTTGATGGGCATTAAATTTTACCTTTAAGATGAGAGCAAGAGAAAACTAATCACAAGGGTTAATAGAAAAAAAAAGAAAAAAAGGCTTTTGATTGTACAAAAATAAAGATTTTTTTTCCATTTGCAAAAAAACCCAAATGAACCCCAAAACCTTACATTTATGGAAAAATAAAAAAATACGTTCCTGTTGAGGGCACAAAAAGGATTTGCTTTTTCTTACTTCCTGTAGATGTCACTTGAGCTTAGCTTTGAAGAAAGCTAGGGATTCTCTGAGGCAGAGGTGAGAAAAAAGTACATTTCAAGTATGAGAAATAGCCTGTACAAAGTCATGGAGAGGGGAGATTTTTGCCCAATGCTTTCATCCCAAAAGTCCCCTTTGCCTACAGCCACCATCCCAAGAGCATAGTACAATATGAAAAGCCAGCCACTATTTTGCAGAACAATTCATGTGGAAATTTTATTCAGAATAATTTATGGAGAAGTTACAAGCATCCAAAAGAATAAAACTTAAGTTGTCTGGACTTCATTTTCCCTTGGCAGTTGACTTTATGCCAAATAATGACCTGCTGAATTATGGACCACAATTCCATGTTTTCTCCTTTTTTGATTGATCTATCTTAGAATTAGGGGACTTGAGTTGGAATACTGATTCTGCTAGTTACTCCTAGTCTTCTCCAGGGCAAATCACCAAACCTCCTAGGAGCTGAGTTTTCTTGTCTATAAGATGATAAGGTTGGACAAGATGATCTCCAAGGTGCTCTCTAGGTTGAAATCCTGTGTTGAAATCTGAACTGTCCTTTTGTGATTGGGTTTTAAAGCTAGCCCAACATTCCTGCTGTTGGCTACAGTTTTCTCTGGCTTTTTGAGCCATCTCCTTGTAGTAAATGTTTCAAAACGCTGCCTTGTTTCAGAGCCTGTAGATTGGGCACATCCTCACTGATGACGGGGATGTCATCTTTCTTCAGCCCCTCAGCACTCAAGTCACCTTCGCTGTCAGACAGTGCACACAGAAGGGTGTCATTTTCATAGGTTGGAAAGTAATACCTGAAAACACAACCACAAATGTGTTAAAAAGCCTCATCCTTAATGGGCAATTGCAGTCAGCTATAGTCTATTCCGTTCTCGATAGTGAAAGCTTAAAACACTTGCCAACAATGTATGCTGAATTTTGTAAACACTGCAAATAAGACAACATTTGAATTGTCTACACTCCATTTTTCACTGGCAGACAACCTTAAGCTGGATGATGACCAGGGACAATCCCAGTGAATTCCAAAATGTCAAGCTTCCTTTTTCTCCCAGGGCAACTTTTGCTAATATGTGTTAGTAAAGGGAGCTTCCCTTTCCCCAGGCCCTGGGATTCTTGCCCACTTGGCTTCCCTCTCCCCTTTCTGGGTCAGTCTTCCAGGTCACTCAGAATCCAGATTTTCTAAATACATATGAATTGAGGAGAAAAGGACCACCATAATACACTTATTGAGGTCCAGCTGTTCCCTGGGTGACATTCAAACCAGTTAGAGGAAATTAAAGGCTCTGGAATCATGGCCACACTCCAATATCAGAATAATTCCTGTTGGTTTCAAAAAAGCATTCAGATGATTTCAGGACACATTCCTATCCCATTCTTACCCATTATTTCACAGGATATCAAGGAAAGTGAAGGAGACACTGGTATCCACAGCAGAGAGAAGGAATGCTTTCAAAATTCTTGAAAAGGAAAAGTGAATTAAAAACAGAGATGGGAAAAAGATAATAGAAGGGAAGAAAGGAGGGGGGGCTCTAGGGGAAAGAAGGGAGGAACAGGGAAGGAAAGACTTGAACAGAATAGAAAAGAAGGAAGGACAATCTGCTTTCCCAGGCTTATTTCACATTACTACCATTCTAGTCAATCTACTTACAGATAATAAGATACTAATACAGATAATAAAATACAGATTTTAAAGTTGGTTACTGGGTTCAATTGCCTCATTTTACATATTAGGCAATTGAGAAACAGAGAAGTAAAGTGATTTAACTAGGATTACACAACTAGTAAATGTCTGAGGTGGGATTAGTCTTCTGACTACAAGTTCAATGCCTTATCAGGTACATCATGCTGTGGCTCAAACTTGTCTTCCAAAACTAGGTCTTTCATCTTTGCACAGGTTGTCCTGCATGTCCAGAGTGCATTCCATCCTAACCTCTTAGAATGCACGGCTTAATTCAAGGCTTTGCTCTGGCACCACCTCTAATGGGAATTCCTTCCCCATCACCCCTTGTAGTTGGTGTTTGCTTCTTCCTCCTCAAATTATTGGGTATGTACTTATTTGTTTACATGTTGTATCCCCTCAGTTTAACAGGGGGGAAAATCTTCTTAGGGTTGGGCCTATTTTCCATCTTGTCTTTGTATCCTTAGAATCTGCACGTAACAGACATTGAAAAGATGCTTGTTGGATTGGAGTGGACAGAAAGGAAAGAAAAGACTGAGACTAGAGGGAAGGTATTGGAACATTCTGGCACATTATCAATATATACAAGTGCACCCACTGATGAATGATCAGCAATCTATTGAACTCTGAGCACCATCACTGAGTCCAAGTGATGGCTGTTGGTGCCACTTTCAGAGCCAAAGCATTGATAGATAAGGGAGACTGAAAGAAAAGAGAGGAGAAAGAAAGTGTAAAAAAAGAAGATGGGGGGAGGGAGAGAAAGGAAATAGAGTACAGAAAATTAAAAAAAATCTAATTAAAGATCTAATTAATCTAAATTAAAGAAAGAGAGACCCTCTGGTCATAAGGGTGAGGATAATGAGATATGTGTGGTGGGATGTGGTATTGTGTTGCCAGCAATTTCTCCAGGCACAACTCAGCTTGTGGTTCCTTTATCCAGTTATTTGTTGGGCCTTTAGATTACCTCAGCCCTCATTCCTTAGCCCCACAATCATTTGGTGATGCGTATAGATCTGCTCTAAATATTTAACCAGAACAATATCCAAAGGCACAGGTCATTTGGGGTTAATAAGAGCTAATGACAACATAGTTTTTGCAAAGTACTTTATATACATGATTTCCTATAATCATCACAACAGCTCTTCTAGGTAAGTTCTGTAGGTGTTATTATCTCTCCAGTTTACAAATGAGGAAGCGGAGGCTCAGAAAGGGAAAGCTGTAAGTGTCTGGCAGGTAGAATTTAAACTTCAATCTCCTCTGACTCTAAGTCCAGCTCTCTTACCAACTTGCCATCAAGTATCTGAGGAATCCCACAGAGGGAGGAAAGAGAGAGAAAAAAAGAGAAAAATTAAAGCAAAATGCAATACAAAGTTGGCAGAGCAACATGGAATCTCAGAATTAAAAGCGATGTTGGGAGATAATCTAGTCCAGTGGTGTCAAGCTCAAATAGAAACAGAGGCCACTAAATCATACACAAGGACCCCTGTTGGCCTTATAATCACTTAGAAGATTATGTATAAATTTTATCTATTATTATCTATATTATATATCATCTATTATTATACTACACATTGTTACAGATACTGTATCTATTATATTTTGTATATTATTTGTTTTATTATATTTTGTTTTACTCAGTTTTTATTTATTTTGTTATATATTTCCCAATTACATTTTGATCTGGTTTGGGTAGCACTCAGGAGAACTGTGGGCCTCAGGTTTGACACCTCTGATCCAATTTGACTTCCTCCCAATATAGGAATATTTTCTACAACAGATAGCCATCCAGTCTCTGCTCGAATACTTCTATGAACAAAAAACTCATTATCTTATGAGATGGTCAGTTCCCTCACTGAGCTGAAATCTTCTTGCCTATCTGTAACTCTTACTTATTTGCTCAGTTTGTGCCTTTTTGAGAACGTAGAACAAGTCTATGCCCACTTCCATTGGAGAGCCATAAAGACATTTGGAAATGCCTAACATGAATTCATCTGGGTTTTCCACCCACTTGGGAAGATGCCTAGTTGAGGGATGACTCTGGGAATTCATAAAGCCCTTTTTTAAGGAATCCATCTTGGGAGAGGGACAGAGTTCTGTGGACTCCACCACAGTAAGCACACTTTGTAGTGAAGCATAGCGGAGAGATGGATTTGGAAGCTGGGTGTGACTCCTAGCTCTGTCACTTATTACCTGTGTGACCTTAGACAAGTCACTTCACCTCTTCTGGCCTCAGTTTCCTTATCTGTAAAATGAAGGGGTTGGACAAGATTGTCTCTAAAGGTCTCTTTCAGCTTTAAATATATGTGGCATTGAGTTGCCAGCAATTTCTCCAGGCACGACTCAGCTTGTGGTTCCCTCCTCTACTTTAGAGGGATGGGGGAGGGGAGAGAAATGCTTCCATACTGGAATCTTTGGGGGACTTCAACTTCCCGGGAGCCTTTTGAACTGGTGTTATCCAAGGGATATAGAAGATCTTATATGATAGTTCCAGGGTCCCTCAAAAGAGGCTTCAATTAGGTGCCAGGCCAAGGGATGCTTATAGAATTAATAATGCACACCCAAGCAGCTGCAAACCAGCTAGCCAGCTTTTCAGCAATTTAAAAATATTGAAATGTGAAGGAAAGATAAATGCATGTGATAGAGCAATACTTACTGTGGCTGATCCCATGTGGTTCTTTCAGGAAGCATTGATATGTGTTTAGTTTTCTCCATGTGATTTCTTAATTCTGCTTTGGATGTAAATTTCAAACGGCAGCCATAACATCTACATTGGTGAACTTCCCTCCGAATGAAGTTGACCAGTTTTACTTGCTGATAGAAATGTAATCCTGGGAAGATGGCAGGAAGCAAAATCATGCCAGATGATTCATTAGACAATTACTTTTGCACTGTTATAATTTTTAAAAACATCATTTAGATTTTTCACAGTAGCCTAAGAAAGAGTGAGAATGCATTAGGATATCTGGAGGGGGTTGCAGAGGGTTGCACCTAAGAAGAGAAGAACATGTATGATTTCAGTAGTATAAAGTAACCAAAGAAAAAAGATGTACACGAAGTCTGGTGGTGCTGAAAGGCAAGAAGAGGTCACTTGTGTTTGCACCTATTATTGACAAGCAAGTTACCAGTCTTCTTTGTGCTGCTATGCTTCTGTCCCCACTAGCCTGAGAAATGTGTAACACAATCTGTTCATACCCAAGACATCCTGGGTTGGTTGTGGTTGGTGCCACAGATTGACTTTAGGTGTTTCAGTTAATTAACATTTTTTTTCAGTAGTTCTAGAGCTATATTAGACATAACTATTGAATTCTTCAGGCCTGCCCTTCTAAGAGTTTTATGCCAAAGAAGGTGAATTTGGAGCTTTTCAAAGGGTCATCAATATGCAAAATGAATCAAATAATCCCTTTATATCAGTGATTCCTGACTGTTTTTTATAATACTCAAATGTGTCCAGTTATTACAAGAGGAGATAAACATAACTGATACTACTTTTCTTTGACTTGATATACAAATAAATATATAGTACATGATTGGGGGGAGGGGTCATGTTTCTCATAGTGGGCCATATGATCAGGAATCCAAACTCTTGCACTAATTCATATTGGCAGAATATTTGTAATTCAGTCTTGGACAGTTGTCTGGCACATTGAGAGGTTATGTGATTGCCTGTGGTTATGTAGCCAGTATATACGAGAACTAGGATTTGAACTCTGGTTTTCCTGACACCAAAATCATTACTCTATCCATCTGGTCATGCTGCCTCTCTAATTTTAGTTAGTTATTAATTATCCAAGTATGGTAGCATGAAGGAGCCCCACAATGGTGGATAGAGAACCAGGAAGGCCTGGGTTCAGGTCCCACCTCTGACCCATGCTGGCTTTGTGGTCTGGCAAGCCAATCTCTCCATGCTCTAGGTAACTCTCTAATACTATAAATGTTGCACAAAGGGTTCTGACCTATACAGGAAGGATATTCTTCTCTCAGGAGTTGTTAATACCAATGAAATTACAGTCCTAGTCTCAATCCCTGGTCCTTATGGTAGCATGATACAGGGGCAGTGATGAATAGCTATGTCTTGTAGTGTTCATGTGTGCCAAATAATTAAGTTTTTGTATTTCCTAAGAAAAAAATCTCAGGAGATTTGTATTCCTAGGGTCTCTGGGAGCTACATATATTTGGCTCATGGGCTGCATATGGGTTGTCAGCTTGGGATAAAGCATTTGTAAAGAGGACCAATAAAGAGTGTTGAGAAGTCAGATAAAAAACAATAGGAGATGAAATTTCAAAATGCCTGGGAAAAACTACTTTAAATAGAATCCTCTGCTATATATACATGGAAAACATTTTGGGCAGATAGTTTCCATCTCTGACTATAAAGTACTGTTATAGTTTAAAAGAAGGTAAATTTAGATCTTCTCAAGTCAAGAAAAGGTAGATCTCTCCCTCCCTCTTTTTCTCTCTATATATAGTTTAAATTATATATATATATATATATATATATGTATAGTTTCTCTTTCTCTCTCTCTCTCTCTCTCTCTCTCTCTCTCTATATATATATATATATATATAGTTTAAAAAAAGAATAAGGAATCCAACAAAACACCCAATCTTACCACCTTCTAGTAGTACATAAGAAAAGTACATTTAAGATTTGTGGATTGTTTTACAGGACTCTTAATGAAAATGTGTCATTGCAGGGTAGAGTATACCATACTCACCAAGGTCGGATTTTATTTTCAGAAGATCAAATTCATGTGCATCCTGTAAATAAATATTCATTATTCATTTATATGCCTTGCTATACAAATACATAATCCGGTGAGTTCTTTCATCACTCATGTTGAAGTTTTAAACAGAAAGTTAGCTTACTAAGAACTCCAAGGAGTTTGAGCTACTGGAAGCTCAACCCGTGTCTACCATCTTCCTTTTCTGAATTCTTTAAAATCTAAGCGCTATTAGCAAAAATTGATTACATGGACTTGAAACACCTCTTCAGCTATGGCAGTGGTAGGATTATTTCTTAAGCATGTCCTGCATGTATTCTATCATCTGACCAAAGGTATCCTTGGTCTTCCAGTAAGCACATGTCTATCACTCCTGCACTCTGTATTAAGGTACTAGAAATCCACCATGCTCAATAACCTTGAAAAGTTTTTTCCCTTTTTACTTTCTTTTATTAAGCATGTGTTGTGTAAATGGTCAACTGCCTCTCTCTCTCCCTAGGCTCCCCGCAAAATACACTGACTTTTGACTTCTCTAACAAAAACCCTCTTATTACTTAAGAAATACCTGGTAAGGAGGCTGCATAGGGAATTTGGGGAGGTAGAATGAACTCGATAATCTTGGAGGCCCTTTCCAATGCTGTGGTTCCCTTATGCTTCCATATTTGTGAAGCTGTTGTGATTGGTCCTATGTTATAAATTAGGAGTTCTTCACCTGAGGTCTGTGAATGTGTTTTTGAAAAATATTTTCACAACTGTATTTCAATAGAATTGGTTTCCTCTATAATTAATAAACTTGTATTAAGCCCCTATGTGCCAGACAAAAAGAGGCAAAAGACAGTCTTTTCCCTCAAGGAACTTACAATCTAAAGGGGGAGACAATACAAACAAATACATACAAAGCAACTTACATATAGGATAAACAGGAATTAACTAACAGACAGAAGGCACTGGAATTAAGAGGGGTTAGGGAAAGCTTCCTGTAGAAGGTAGGATTTTAGTTGGGACCTGAAGGTAGCCAGAGAAGTCAGTAGTCAGAGCACAGGAGGGAGAGAGTTCTAGGAATGGGGAACATCCAGAGAAAATGCTTGGAGCTAAGAGATGTACAATTATTCCTTCCACATTGCAGGGGTTAGGGGTGTGGTACCCCCTGTGATCTAGAAAATCTGCATAAAAGTTTTTGGCCCTCTCTTCATACCACAGATGTCCAAATTTTTTCTTTTTCTTTTATGGGGTATTTACAGACCTTATTGTAAAATTTGGGTTAAATATTTGGCTATATTATACAATACTATACATATATTGTATGCATTTCTGAGTCTGCACTTCATATGTCATTTATGGGTTCCACAAAACTCCCTCCAAATTCCCATTTAATTTCTTATACCAACCTACGATATATTGAAATTGTGACAGGGAAAATTGAAATGTGGAAAGGATAGCTGTAGTGTCTTTTTAAAAAAAAATTATTAATTTTAATTTTCAACATTCATTTTTATAAGATTGTGAAGTCCCTCCTTTCTCTCCTCTCCAAGACGGCATGCAATCTGATATAGGCTATACATGTATAATCATATTAAACATATTTCCACATTAGTCATATGGTGAAAGAAGAATCAGAACAAAAGGAAAAGACTATGAGAAAGAAAAAAAAAGAGAAAATAGTATGCTTTGATCTGCATGCAGATTCCATAGTTCTTTCTCTGGATGTGTATAGCCTTTTCCATCATTCCATTTTGGAACTGTCTTAGATCCTTACATTGCTGAGAGGTAAATCTATCAAAGTTGGCCATTGCACAATGTTGTTGTTACTGTGTATAATGTTCTCCTGGCTCTGCTCACTTCACTCAGCATCAGTTCATGTAAGTCTTTCCAGATTTTTTTGAAATCCACCTGCTCATCATTTCTTATGGAACAATAGTATTCCATTATATTCATATACAGTCATTTCCCAATTGATGGACATCCCCTCAATTTCCAATTCTTTGTCACCACAAAAAGAGCTGGTATAAATATTTTTGTACATGTGGGCCCTTTTCCTTTTTTTATGATCTTTTTAGGATACAGACCTAGTGGTGGTAGTGATGGATCAAAGGGTATGCACAGTTTTATAGCCCTTTGATCATAGTTCCTAATTGCTCTCCAGAATGGTTAGATCACCAACAATGCATTAGTGTTCCACTTTTCCCATGTTTTCTTCAACATTTATTATTTTCCTGTTTTGTCATATTAGCCAATCTGATAGGTGTGATGTGGTACCTCAAGGTTCTTTTAATTTGCATTTTTCCAATCAATAGTGATTTGGAGCATTTTTTTCATATGACTATAGACAGCTTTAAACTGCAGTGTCTTGATAGTGAAGCAGAAAGGAGGCCACTGTTTCTGGATTGAAGAGTATGTATTGGGGAATAAGGTGTAAGAAGACAGGAAAGGTAGGAGGGAGCTGGGTTATGAAGGGCTTCGAATGACAAATGGAACATTTTATATTTGATCACGGAGACAATTGGAAGCTACTAGAGTTTATTAAATTTTGTGTGTGTGTGTTGTGTGTGTGTGAGACGTGACTAGATCTGTGCCTATAATCCTATGTATCAAGTTTCATACAATTAAAAACATTATTCTGAGAAGGGTCTCATAGGCTTCACCAGACTGACAAAGAAGTCCACGACACACAAAAGGTGACGGAACCTTGTTCTTCTCGGATCTGACTTCTCTTGTGTACTTTAGACCTCCCCAGGAGCCGCCAGAGGCTTGCACTAGATTATTCCGATGTTGGTCAGATTCTTAAGGCTTCCATGTAGGAGAACAGGATCAGATTTTGACTTAGCTTGGACTTACTGTCTAGATTCTAGATCCTTCTTCTTAGCTGTAAGATCTAAGAGTGAGAGCTGGAAGGGATCCTGAAGATCAGCTAGCCCACCCCCTCATTTTATTCACAAGGAACCTGAAGCTCAGAAAGTGACTTGCCCAAGATGAGCTAATGGCAGAGACAGAATTTGAACCCAGGTCCTCTGACTCCAAAATGAGTGCTCTTTTCACTCTACCACAAAGTCCCACAGCGTATGGCATGCCTGAATTCATGGATTGTGGATATTTTGTTATTGTTTTGACTTACAGGTTCACAATAGGCAATGCCGTTCTTAGTTCACTTTAGACAATATCTAGCATAAGCATTATGTTGAAATAGGCACTCGATGCTTTCATCATCATCGTCATCATTATCATCACTAGCATTTCTATAGCATTGTAAGTTTTGCCCACTGCTTCACATATATTATGTCATTGATCTCCATAACAACTCTGTGAGGTAGGTGCTATTTTTATCCTTATTTCACAGATGAGGAAACTGAGGCCGAGAGGGGGTAAGTGACTTGCCCAGGGTCATATGGCTAGTAAACGTCTGTTGTGGGATTTGAACTCAGATCTTCCTGACTCCAAGGCCAGCACTCTCTCCACTGTGCCACCTAGCTGTGATGAAAATTTATTCCACTTATGTTTCATCATGAAGTGTTCAAGTAGAGGCTGGATAGTCACGCTTTAGTGATGTTACATTGAATATTTCTTTATTGTTTGGCAGAGTAACTTCTAAGTTCTTCTCCAACTCTGCATGTCTATGAATTGGCAACCTCACGCCTGGTCACCTGCATAAATGAGCAGGTGCTGCTCTATTTCTTAGGCTTCAGGGGGAGAGTTTGAAGAGGATTCCTGCTTCAGGGAGCTGTGCCTCCATATGGGTTAACATTCATGGCCCCATCACTGCAAAATTATGAGCATATGATCCTAGCCTTGTTCATCTTGCAGTTTTAATTTTGGGGTTTTTTTTTTGTTGTTTTTTTTTTTTTTTAGGCAATTGGGTTAAGTGACATGCCTAGGGTCACACAGCTCGTAAGTGTCAAGGGTTTGGTCTGAGGCCGGATTTGAACTCAGGTCCTCCTGACTTCAGGGCCGGTGCTCCATCCACTGCGCCACCTAGCTGCCCCTTAATTTTGTTTTAAAATACAAAAAGGTTGCAGTTGAGTGAAAAGGAAAATTCTTAATTGTGGGATATTTCCAGTTTTCTTTATAAAAGTATGACCCTGGCCCTGTTTTTCACATTGCTTCCACAACAGCTTTGTACAGAATAGAACAGATTTCTACAATCTCTACCCAGGGCAGGAAGCACTGCAATGAGACTCAGGACTTGGATGTATCTCTACCTATACTAGTCTGAGTGCTTATCTTGATTCATATTTGAATTTCTGGGCTAGAATTATACTAAAATTCCCCTAAAAGCTTAGGCACACATGTTGGATCATTAGATCGCATTGAGTGGATTACATGCTACCACTATACTTTCAAATCTTGCTTTTAGAATAGGGATAGATAAGAGGCTCTAGGCAGTGAGGTAGTGCAGTGGATACAGCACTGGACCTGGGGTCAGGAAAACTCCTCTTCCTGAGTTCAAATCTGACCTCAGACAATTACTAGCTCTGTGACTCTGGGCAAGTCATTTAACCGTTTGCCTCAGTTTCCTCAACTGTAAAATGAGCTGGAAAAGGAAATGGCAAACCATCCCAGTATCTTTGTCAAGAAAACCCCAAATGGGGTTATGAAGAGCCAGACAAGACTGAATTCTTTTTATACAGTAAAGTACAAATCAAATGACCAACACAATATCTCACCTCCATGTGGTCACGTAATTTTTCAGTAGTATCTGCTTGTTTTTCACAAAACAAGCAGACAGCACAGACAGGGTGTTCTTCCCAATCAGACCAGTCACTATATGCAAAAAACATAAAACAGAGATTGCCTTCATTATTAGTTTGCTCAGACCACAAAGCATTAAAAGCAGCAAAATAATAGTAGCTGGGATGAGGAGGAAGAGGTACACTTATCCATTTTTGATGAAATTGCAAATATGTAGTCCAAAAAATTAAAAGTAAATGATAAAAACCATAAAACTATCTGTCACTGGAAATACACCTGTGTTGTCAGAACAAAAAAGATCTATTTATTATATGATTTCAGCAGCAGAAATATATATATGCATATATATACATACATATATATGTATACAAACACATACACACACATATATAAAATCATTAAAAGCTGGAAACAGCCTAAAGGTCCAGTAATAGTGGAATGGTTAAATAACTGTGGAACAAAAATGTAATGGAATCCCATAATACAGTGGAGGCTGATGAATATGAGAGAAATCTGGAAAGACCTGAAATAATGTAAAATAAGCAAAACCAGAAGAGTGAGAATATAGACTATCACCACCAGGAGGAAAAGTATATGAAAATGAATAGAGAACCCTAATGAGGACTTGGAGTGAAGAGGTGAATTGTTATGACTCTTTATTGATTGAAATTAATTAATTTAAAGGTAAATAGCTATTAGGCAAATTTAGCTGGTTACATTGATGTTCACTGTAACACTTTTGATAAAACATTCAAAACAAACAAATCTGTGCACATTTAAAAACATAGCGTGTATGTGGGAGGTGTGCCCGAGCCCTCTCAGCTCAGTGGTTCATAGATGGCACTGGCCATAAGGTTCTCCCCTCCCAGTCTGCCAGAGGGAGACCAGCCAAATCTTTTTCAACCCTGACATTTATCCAGAGATTGTCACAACACATTATGTTTATCTTTTAGCTTTTGAAAGTCTAAGAAGTACCATGAAATTAATATAAATGACAAACAGGTGCTGATCCTTTGTCTCCTATTTTACTCTCCTCTGAACAGCTACCCCACTGCTGAACGAGTGGGAATCATGAAACAGCAGTTGTTTTTGGCAGACTCTGCTCTGAGACAACTAGGTCTAATTTGCACAAGGAGACATCAAGGGATGTGTTAACTACAGCCACTGAGTGTACACACAGTCAGGCAAGATGCTGCGAACGTGTTTCTGCATGACAAAGGGGGCGTGCTGCATTTCAAAACAATCCATTTTTTTTCCCATCACAGAAATAATGGTTATTTTTACCAGGAGCTCCTGGGGAATCTTGTAGTAGAGCAGACATCCCTTTTTCCTCCTTTCTCTTTTGAAATGCTAATAATTACCTTCAGGGAGGTAGGTATTTGGGGATATACTCTTCTTGAATTCTACCCAAAGAGCAAGGAAACTAAGTACTTAGAATCAATGGGTACTCAAGAAGCCACCAACTTTTGGTGGGGTCTTAGATGACTCATCTCCTCTTTTCTTGGCAAAATTAAGACTGATGTTCCCCTCCTTTTCCTCTTTCCAAGTAAGAGAGCATGTGTGTGTGTGTGTGTGTGTGTGTGTGTGTATGTGTGTGTGTGTGTGTGTGTGTGTGTGTGTGTTGGGGGTGGGGGGAAGGGGTGGTAGTCGATATGAGCTCCTCATTCTGCATTCCACTCTTGTTCATGAGATACCAGTGGCATCAAAATGTAAACATTTACTGCATAAAATACACTAACTAGGGTGTCCTAAAGAAATGCTATTTTCCAAAGTCTAGAGAACCTACTAACCAAGTCCCCTGTTACAAAGAAGATGGCTGACCTTCTGTTACCCAACTTTGGTATTTACTTTAGTAAAATATTAATTCAAACCTCAGGAGACCAAGAAAAAAAAAGTCAATTTGTAATGAAAATGGCATAAGAGGTGAGCATTTCTTAAACTCGACAATTGAGATAAAGAAGATGCAGGTGATTTTGAGTTAGTCTTAAGAGAGGCTGAACAGTCATTTCCCCTTCCTCTACTTCACAGATAGATGATCAGAGTTAGAAGAGACCTCAGACACTATTCAGTCCAACCCATACCTAAACAAGAATCCCCTCTACAATATACCTGTCAAGTGGTCCAGCATGTGTTTGAACACTTCCAGTGATGGGAAACCACCACCTTCCCCAGCCATCCTACACCATTTTGTAATAACTCTAGTGGTTAGGAAGTTTGAATTTGCTTCAGTTTGACTCTCTGCAACTCTCACTCCCTGTTCCTCCTGGTTCTGACATCTGGGCCAAGGAGAGCAAGTCTAAGCTCTCTCCCATATGACATTGCTTCAAATATTTGAAGTCCCCCCACCCCCAAGTATTCTCTTCTCCATGATCAACACCTCTAGTTCCTCTTATTATAGTAGTAATTTCATTCATTCTCACTGCCCTCTTCTGAATTCTTTACAGCCTATCAATGTCCTTCTTAAAATATGGCCCTCAGAATGGAACATGATACTCTGGATTTGGTCTGACCAGGGCAGAGCTGATAGTAATTGGAGCAGTCCAAAGATCACATCACTTAACTTCAAGTTTTCAGACCAATGTAATAATGCAAGACATTCTGCAATGCAATTTTCTCTTTGAATTATAAATCTCTCTATATACAAACACACATATACGCTTTCAAGGAACCAAATAACCTTAATGGCAAAACCCTATCTAGTAGCAGTGACAATTGCCTTGGCTGTTGTTTTAGAAGCTATTTTGAATTAACCAGTATCAAGTTAGGGAAGTTTTGCTTAAATATACTGAAAGATCTAGTGTCACACCCCATCAAATAAGAGTCAAGTCACTGAATTCACGGTCCAGGGAAAAACACGTCTTTGTTACTTCTCTTTAGGCAACATATTCCCAAATACCGATTTTGATTCTAGTTAAGAGGTGGCCACGAAACAATAGCAACAATTCTTACTCTTCCTGATGATCTAGCAGTTCCCGATCGTCTTCCAACTGAACTTCTTCCCAGGACTTTCCAAGCTCCTGTGTAAGTTAAGACAAAAAGATCAGAAAGATTAAAGAATAGGATTAAGAATATGTTCACAGAGCTGCTAGAAGACTCCCAGTTCTGTTACTGACTTTGAAACAATACAAACATTGAAAGATTTATGCAGACTTTAAGCTTGCCCTTCAGACAATGTCTTTCCCTTCAAGAAGGGAGAACAGGAATTCTCTAAAATTTCAATATATAGAATTTAAATTGAAGTTCACTTTAAAAATAAGCCAAAGAATCCTCCCACTCATTTTAAATTGCTGATTTAAAAAAAAAAAGATTGACAATTCTAGATTAAATGTGATCTTGGGATTCTTTTAAAATGAGACCTATATCACTATTCAATTACATTTTTAAACCACATCCCAAAAGCAAGGGACTGGAAATAAGAGAGTGAAAAATCTAAAAAGTCCCCGCCCTTGAGTAGCTTACATTCTGCTGAATCTAACATATTCCACAGCATTTGCAACATCTTTTATTTGGGTCTTCTAAAGAAGCAGAGTAAGCCATGAAGAAAAGAATGGTTTGCATTTTCAAAATTGGGCCTAGTTGACAGACTGATATCTGTCTCATGTTTGTCATCTGACAATCAACCACGCTAACAAGAGAGTTTTTTCCCTCATCTGACTTGACTGCAGGGGATGAATCTTTCAACCACAGTAACTCTCAGAGACCTGGCTAGACTAGAGGAAATGTTGATCTATTGACATTACAAATCTTTTCAATTGTTTCCAGAAAAAAAGATCTAAATCATGAAGCTACACTAGAACCCATTTCTTTTCTCCCTCCTGTACTACAGAAAGTGTAGCCTCATCACTCATATGTGAAACTGGACCAAAGATGCTTGGTCCAATGGTTTCTCCTCAAATCCTGTCCCCCAGTTTCAGCAGATCTTATTTATACCATCTTAATGCCATCTGTTCCTTTTCTGCCCTTTTCTGCTCCAGTAATCTAGGAAAAAATAGCTTGTATACTAGTCTGGGGAGGCCAAGAGGAAGTGGTAACATTACCTTTCCCAAGGCAAGTCAAGTCTGAGAATTATGGGGACGAGCAGGGCATTAGGTCACTCCCTCTGCTTTTTAAAAAGATGAGGAAATTGAGGCCCACAGTGGTCCAATGACTTACATAAGACCAAACAGCTAATGACAGAGACAAGAGTCTGGATTGGGAGTCAGAGCACCTGAATATTAATCTCAGGACCACCACTTACTACCTGTATGACACTTCTCTTGACTTCAGTTTTCTTGGCTGCAAAATGAGGGGGATGAATATGATTACCTTGGAATTAAGGTTAGCTGAATCTGTGATCCTACTATCCCACTACTGGTACAGGTCTATGCTTTTTTTAATGGGAAAAAAAAATTGGCCTAAACTTTCAAGTTCTGGTATCACCTTTGAATACCAGTGCCTAAGAAATTGTCTTGTCTGTGGCAGGTGCTTTATGAATATTTGTTGAATTTAATATTCAAATAAAGCAGACTAGGGTATTCAAATAACCTCACAAAACCACAGACTACCATTACTACCAGAGGCATTTTTCCGAGGGAGGGGGAAAGGATGTGGGTATAGGTGTGAAAAGAAAGAAAAATAAAATGAATACATCATTTGTCAACTTAATGAGAGGCTTCAGAGTTGTCACAATCTATCAGGCTAATGTTGCATAAACTCAAATGTCATTGGATGCTCTTCAGCACTACGTCTTTGGCATAAAGATGGGGTGGTTAATTCAGAAACATAAAACTATGGTGGAAACTTTGCATAATAACAATAATAGCATATTTTTATGTAGCATATTGTAAAGAGTACACCACTGGCAAGAACCATTACATAATTTTGCCACAGTATAACCAACCAGATCTTAGTAAACAGAAGTTATATTTGGGGCATATAAATGGCCCAATGGATAGAGTGCTGGGGCTTGGATCCAAATTCAAATCCAGCCTCAGTAACTTACTGAGTTTGCCTCAGTTTTCTCATCTGTAAAATGGGTGTAATAATAGCGCCTCTTCCACCCCCATTGTTGTGAGGATCAAGTGAGATAAATTGTGAAGTGCCTAGCACAGTCCCTGGCACATAATAAGCACTATATAAATATTAACTATCATGAACATCATCATCATGATCATCATCATCATTTCTGGAGCTGCATTAACTCCTTTAGGAATTGAGGTGTTGTTTACTCTGGAAGTGAACTGAGGCCTTATTGGCTATGGTCTGTCTCATTGTCAAGAGTTTCTGAACATGGGAGAGGCCAAGACATGTTGTTGTTGTTATTGTTTAGTCATTTCAGTAGCGTCCAACTCTTCACGGCCCTGTTTGGGATTGTCTTGGCAGCGATACTGGAGTGGTTTGGCATTTCCTTCTCCAGTTCATTTTACAGATGAGAGGACCAAGGCAAACAGGCCTAAGTGACTTGCCCAGAGTTATACAGCTAGTAAGTGTCTGAGGCCAGATTTGAACTCAGAAAGATAAGCCTTCTTGATTCTAGGCCCTGCACTCATTCCACTGAGTCACTTAGCTGCTCCAGGCCAAAGCACGAGATAGAATTCCACATTTGGAGTAGGGAAAATGTGTATTCCAAGCCCAGCTTCTGATAACTGCTACTTGAGTGACTTAAGTTCTTTTTAAGACTCAAGTATCTCCTAAGTCCTAGACAGGTTCCGATCTGCATGGGTGGAGGGGATAAAAATCACAGATCTTTGACTAGTAAGTACCCAAGGATGAGTGTTGTGGATGCCACCATTCATTTTTACTCCTTAGATGGTTGTTTATCATTAAATAGCTTGATCGAAAAGTGGTAAGAAAACATCTTCCATTGCCAAAATAATTTGTAATATTCCTTTGAACTCAGTACAACATCCAGGGAATTATCCAGGAAGTACAGCATAAACTACATTCAGCTGTGGAGGGAAATGGAAATGGAACCCAAACAGTGAATTAGGAAAATAGCTATTTGTACAAAACAAGTACTCAGACGTTTCCGTAGGCCTCTGGTATGGTACAGCTAAGTTAGCCATTTATGAAAGGACCAGGACTCAGAGGAAAGAAACAACACATAACTTCCTAATTAAGAGATCGTGTCTGGTAATGAATCATATCACGAAAGTACAGAACAGGAGAAAAACAAAGTTGGGAAGGCATGTCAATAAAGCCTTGTGGTCCACCCCCTCAAACCTCTGCATCAGATGGCTCATGCGAGGGTTGGAAAGAGTATGCGACATGAAAGGCAGACCCACACCCACGTCCTTAGACAAAAGTAGGTTAGGAACAGACGAAGAAGGCAATGTGCTTTAAATGTGAATGGGTTGTTTTATGACAGAGACCTACAAAGAGAGATCCGTGATCACTTGAGATCGCTCAAGGTCTCGAAGTCACTAGAAGCAGCTTGTTTTTGTGTGTCTTAAAGGGGGAAATAAAATTTTCTTTTAAACCAAGGAATGCTGAGGTTTCAGTGGAAATAAGAGCCAGAGCTCCACAAAGCCTGGCATGTGAAGAGAATGTAGCTGGTGCCTAGATATTGATGTGGAAGTAAGGAAGAGTCAAAAAGACCAGAGTAAAAATCCAGCCTTACCCACTTATGTGCTGTATGACCCTGGGCAAGTCACTTAACTGGTGTCTGCTTCAGTTTCCTTAACTGTAAAATGGAGATACTAATAGCACCTATCTTGCAGGGTTGTTGTGAGAATCAAATGAGATAATATTTGTAATTAGCTGAGCATAATACCTGGCACACAGTAGGTGCTATATAAATTCCCTTCTCCTCACTCCACTTTCTTAAGGCAGGAAAAGCTGGGAATAAAGCTGTCTAGCTTACAGTGGCCTGACTACTCTGAGTGTTATCTCAGCCCTTTTCATCTTTCTGTAGAGAAAACAAGGTCTTTCTCTGGGTGACCTAGAACATGTAAATGGCCTTACGAAGCAATTGGAATCACAAGACCTGGATTCAAATCCCGACATTTACTATCTGTGAAATGTTAGGCAGGTTATGTAACTTCTTTGGGCCTCAGTTTCCCCAACTGTTAAATGAGTGGGTTGGACTAGATAACCTTGATGGCCCAGTACAGAAATCAGTTTCTTAAAATACCTGCCTGAGAAGACATCCACAGATGTCAAGTCAAAAATACTGCCCTATAGGAAGCAGCATTGAGAATGGGAACAGGGAGTGGGGATATTAACATACTTCATCTTTCTTTCTGATCGCCCCGCAACAAGGAGTATCACCTTTCTGCCTTCCTTTTCATTTTATATTTGGTCCAATTTCTTTATAAATAAAATTCGATTAAATAGCTAAAAGAACTAATAGGAGAATCAGAGATTTAGAGCTGAAAAGGACCCTAGAGGCCATTCAGTCTAATCTCATTGACCATATGAGGAAATTGAGGCTCAGGGACTTCAAATGAATAACTCAAGGTGACACAGACAGTCAGCATCAGAGGTGCTCTCCACTGTACCATACTGCCTCCTATCAAATAGGAATGTTTCTTCACTATGGCAGCAGGGCTAAAACCAGATGACCCCAGAGTCTTTATGCCCCACTTTTCTCTAATTCTTTTTTTAATATTAGAGATTTCCCCCCTCAACTACTCATTTTGCAGATAATTAAAACGGTTTTAATTCCCAATGGCAGAAGGAAGTCATGACCATCTATCTCTCTTATGTTGATCACAACTCTTAAGGTACTATATAGCTGGTAACCTGGGAAGCAGCTTCTCTGTGCCCATTCCTTAAACACACCTGTAGGCAATTCTTCACAACTCCCTTTAGCTCAGTTAGAGAGCATTCACTTTATCACCACATAACTCTAAGGAACAAAAATGCTCGAAAAGCTCCAAGCACTTAAGGGTCTTGCTCTTTAGCTCAGCAGGGCAGAGTAGGGTAATAATGAGGCTAAGGCTGGGGGTTTGAGCTTTGCATAGGCCACTTGGCATCAGTTACAACCCTGGCCAATGGAAACCATGAGCCACAAGGAGGACTAGGCTACAGTGGGGGTGGGGAGGCATTGCTACAAATCCCTTACCACTACTACAAAAACAACTCTAAGTACTATTAGGATACTATCATCACATCAAAGTACAACATAGTAAGCATCTGTTTATTATTCCTCCTGGTCATAGTATTACTATCTCAGAACTCTAATTTAATTTAAAATTTTGGGGTTGTATATCTTTTTTTTTTTAATTGGACTTAATAATGGTGTAGGGAAATCCCAGTGACAAAACTCTCCCTACCAATATAGATCAGTACCAGTTCTGCAACTTATTCTCTTGGAAAGTTGGCTGGGAAGGGCAGCTAGGTGGTGCAGTGGATAGAGCACCGGCCCTGAAGTCAGGAGGACCTGAGTTCAAATCTCGCCTCAGACCAAACACTTGACACTTACTGTGTGACCCTGGGCAAGTCACTTAACCCCAATTGCCTACCTAAAAAAGAAAGAAAGAAAGTTGGCTGGGGGCACTAAGCAATTACAGGGCTGGCCAAGGGTGATATAGACAGTGTAAGTCAGAAGTGGCCCTTGAACCCAGTCTTTCCTGACTCCAGTGTTGGATCTCTAGCCATTAGACAAGGCTGTCTCTCATTTTGTCCATCTTTATATTTGAAAAGAGGAGGAATAACATAAGTAATAATGTGACAGACTCAGTGTATGAAGACCTAGGTTCAAATCATCCTGCCTCTGACTTTTATTAGCTGTGTGACCAATGGGCAGGTCACACTATAACTATTGTGATGATATATTTATTGTAGCCATAGTTTCTTAATCACTTGACACATAAGAAAGCTACCTTTAATATCTGGCAGCTAGGTGGTCCAGTGGATTGAGTGCTGGGCCTGAAGACAGGAAGACCAGAGTTCAAATTCGGCCTCAGACGCTTAGTAGCTGCGTGACTTTGGGCAAGTCACTTAGGCCTGTTGGCCTCAGCTTCCTCAACTGTAATATGATCTGGAGAAGGAAATGGCAGATCATTCCAGTATCTTTGCCAAGAAAACCCCCAAAACAGGTCAAGAAGAGTTGAGAATACTGAAAACGATTCAACGACAAATGTAATAATATATACAGTGTTTTGCAAACTTGAAAGTACTGTACAAATATGATCTTGAGGCATATTATTGAGGCCTTTTTTAGAGAAGTTGGAAACATTACACATAGGACATAATGCATCAGCTACGTGCATTAATAGCAGCAGGCCCTGGAGTACAATGTCAAGTGAAGTTTGACAGGACTCAATCGTTTACACCCAGATATAAGAGGCTAGGTGGTTCTACTAAGGACAGAAGATTTATAACCACAGGAACTAGAGTGAACTATGGGTTAGTAGTATATTTACTTTTCTAAAAGTGTCAGAGGAGGCTTAATGAGCTCAAGAGATCTGATTCTTTTCTTATTGAAAAGATGAGTTCCTCTGGCCATTTGGTGTTCCACTAAATCCCATGCTAAGGTATTAGTTTAAAAGAGTCTAGGAAGGAGCCCCATTCAATTCTCCTCCATTTTTTTGCTGTGCCTCCGTATTTCTTGGAGGTTTAATACTGAGGCCCATTCCCTAATGAATTCTGCTGAACCCTGAAGGCAGGTTTGCTGGAGAAGATGAGACTGAATGATTTCAGGAGAAGACTGAAGGATTCAAATGATGCATGTGGCTTTGCCGTTAGCTAGTTGTGAAACATTTGTTGTGCACCATGGTAACTCACAGAGCCAGCCTGCAAACTAGCCTCATGAGGAGAATTTTTTTTTTTTAAACTTTAAATGCCAAAAGGATTAGAACAGGCAGAAATTGCTCCCTGGAGCCAGGAAGAAGATTTACATCCCAATTCAGGACACACATGTTCCTTTTTGAAAGATAAAAGTATCACCCTTAAAAGAAAACAACTTTATTGGATCCAATTATGCTTTTGTGGACAATGGTTATCGATTTTAATTCAGCGTTCATCACAGGAAAAAGCTCCTCCCATTTGCTTAGAAGAAATGTCAATGAAATACAAAACTTCTATCTGACATCCTATTCCATTTTTAAGTTAATAGACCCTCTGTGTATAACTGCCCACCAATCTGCCATATGCAACTAAAAATGAGTGGGTGCTCAGGCGGGTGGCTGAACCCTAGGCTGATTTGGTGGTAGATATATTCTGGTGCCATGTCACTATGGGGATGTTCCTAGGCCAGCTCTTTCAGTCTCTGATGCTGTAGCTGCTATGACATCCCTAGTACTAATAGTATGTCCCAAAGATACCCTAGAAATTCATATAACTTAACAGAGACCTGTGCATAGGTAGGTCTAAAAGGAGGCATGTAGCAGAGCCAGGAGTAAACACCTGGCCCCCAGGATAGGACATCTAATAATAGCTAAGATTTACATAGCACTTAAAGGTTTACAAAGCATTTTGCCTAGTTTATCTCACTGATCTTCACAACAACCTTTTTGAACTAGGTGCTATTCTTATCTCCATTTTCTAGATGAGAAAACTGAGGCTAAGAAAGGCTGAGTAACTCATCTAGAGTCATACACATAGCACTTGTCTCTGGTGGGATTTAAACTCACATCTTCCTGAATCCAAGTTCAATGTTCTTTCCACTGTTGTGATATCCTGGAAGCATTATGAAACAAATAAAAAACAAAAAACAAACAACAACAACAACAACAACAAGAAAAAAGCTAGGGGTGGTGGCACTCCTTGAATGGAGGTCCTGAGGCGGGTTGATCACTTGAGCTCTGGAAGGTTGAGCTGCAGTAGAGTTAGAGGCAAGAGGTTATCAGCACCAATATGGTGAGTTTTGGGGAACAGTGAGACAGGACTAAGTGACCTAAAGAGGAGTGAACCAGCTCAGTTTGGGAATGGAGCAGGTCAAAGCTCTCGTACCGATCAATAATGGGATTGGGTCCATGAATGGCTGCTGCACTTCCAGCCTGGATATAGTCAAGAAATAAAGGAAGAAAGAAAAGAAAAAAGGAAGAAAGAAAGAAGAAAGAAGGGAAAGGGAAAAAGATAAAGCACTAAAAATTTTCATAGAAGCATTATATATAATTGCAAAAAACTGGAAGCAACCCTAGAGCAGCTGGATGGTGGAGTGGAGAGAGTGTCAGGCATAGAGTCAGGAAGATGCATCTTCCTAAGTTCAAATCTGGCCCCAGACATTTTCTAGTTGTGTGACCCTTGGCAAGTCACTCAACCCTGTTTGCCTCAGTTTCTTCATCTGTAATATGAGCTGGAGAAGGAAATGGCAAACCACTCCAATACTTTGCCAAGAAAAAAAACAACAACCCAAACCCAAAAAGTTGGATGCAACACAACTGAAACAAGTGAAGAATAGCAAAGGAAGCGACCTACCCACCTTTGGGCTAACACCCACCTGGTCGCCCAATTATATGTGGCTGCACTGAGCTATGTGATCTTTGAGAAGTCAGTGTCTGTAACAGCATGACCCATAGGCTAAGAGTGACAGGGATTTTGCAGGGAGGGTGGGTTTTCTGACTTTGGAGACTTACTCTCTGTGGGGTGGAAGGCCATCTCTACCCCAGAGGACACCTTAGCCATTACACCCACTTGCCACTATGTTTAGGCAGAACTATGAAGTAGATCCAGCGGGTCCTTCCTCTCTTTCTACCTTCAGGTTTGTTGTAACCTTGTGATACCCAGGGTTTCTGACTATGGCCACACATACGAATTTCTATTCCCCCTGTTAATAATTCATGCTCTGTACTTCTGTTTCCTTCTAGCCCCACTTAAAAATCTACCTGTACTATGACCCCCATGAATTAATGTGTTTGTTATTCCTCTCATGTAATATTTATACTCTGACAGGGCCTTTCCGGACACAACAATCTAATGTGGCAGTCTAGCGGGAATAATTTTGTGTAGGCAGGACTTTTAGGTGCCACTTAAAAGTAAGCCACATAGGTATTTGGTGAGGTATGGCTTAAAACTGTCAGTGGGAACCCTCTTGGTCAGTAGGGGATTTGATCACTACCATTGGCAAGGGTTGGGATAGAGTAGGATAGGGTGAGGTGAGCTGTGGGGAAGGGAGAAGGAAAACTTGAGGTAGCCAATAGGAAGTGGTGCAGTGGTGGTCCACTATTAACGATGCCAGCCTTGGAGTCAGAGGACCTAGATTTGAATCCTGGCTTTGCCATATGTTATCCATATGGCCCTGAGAAATTTAATTCAACTCTCTGGCCCTCACTTTCCTCATCTATAAAATAAGGAAGTGGGAACTCAAAAATCCTCTTCTGGTTCTGAGTCTATGATAATTGTTTGGATGTAAGGTCTAAAGTCAATATATTCCACATAAAAAAAGGTTATATGAGTGCTTTGGAATTTATTTTAGTTAAGTTGTTAATATTAAGATTGCTGTTAACGTGGGTGACATTTTATTTTATTTTATTTTTTTGGAATCTACAAATGTTTGTTCAGCTGTTTTGTAAACTCACCATTCTTAAGAGGGAATATAATTCTGAAGAGCCCTTCAGTTGCATTTTGACCTTTGTGCTAAGTAGCTTGTTAAAAAATTAGAGATGGATCTTTAACAAGATTGTGTTTGCTGTTCTTCAATCAATTTTTCAATTAGGAAGGGAAAAGCTTACCAAATAATTAATGACATAAAATCGGTCATATTCTCTATTCTTAGCATTGATCTTGCGATGCTGCTTTTTCCTCATGTGATCCTTAAGTGTATTTTTGTCTCTGAAGAACTTTTCACAGTATAAGCACTGCAAGCTAAAATGAAAACATAAATAATAGTATCTGAACTGAAAGGTTTCCCAATATGCACTACTTTCGTACTTCAGACTGTAAGAAGTTTTATGGTCTCTTTTCGTTGACCTTTGGGTCACCAGCAGCTTTTGGATATTTAGAGATTGTAGTGTTGTCTGATTTATAACCATTTGTATTAAATTAAAACAAAAATTAAAAAAAAAGGAAATGTTTTTGTGTCAGGGAATATCTTGGGAATAACTGAAAACATTGTACAAGTTTCCAAATGCAAATCCGCCTCTTTTAACTATTTAATTCTGGGCCCAACTCATTGTCCATCTGTGGTGTCTTTCTGTATTAATGTGCAAACTTAAATTGCTAGCTGTTTGAATGCATGTTATAGTCTGGACAATTGGCTTTTTTCATCCATTTAGGTTTTCCTGAATATATGGTTAGGCCAATCACTTTTGAGTAATTATTGATCCCACTGAGGAAGCCTTGTCATGCTACGGAGATAGATGCAATCAGCACAATATCATCTATAAACAGGCACCTCTGGAGGACCTCATCATTTATATATATGCTTAAGACATACTCATGATATTGGTAAACTCCCCAGGTGAGCATACATCTCCCTGCATTATGCTTTATTTGACATTAGTAATTTAAAATGGGGCACAAAGACTTCTATTTTCAACAATGGTTAATATAAGTAGTGTAAAAGATATCATGTAGGAGATTATGACTAGAAAATGAGGTAGGTTAATCACGTAAGGGGTAAGGAATAACATAGGCCAGCCCCAGTATCTATTGTCTACTGGCATCCATGAAATGTAAGATGACCTAAAAGAAGGCCTCCAGAATATTGGTTGGATGAGGGTTAATGGGAGAACATATACAGAAATTCACAGGATGAGAAGGTGGGATTGGTTTGCTCTCTGTACCAATGAAGAGGATACTTAGAGTGATAAGATCACAGATTTAAACATTATTTATAATCACCTATTCTCAGTCAATCAAGCTTTAAAGGGTCAAGCAAATACTTTTAAGAATTCATGGATCGTTAGCTAAGGATTAAAAATCGTACACTTAAATCTTCATCTTAATAGGATTTTACCTTTGGGATTAGACTTATTCACTGCAACTTCTGCTAGGGGATGATGTTTTTATCTTCATTTTTATAGACGGACACTGAGGCATGGTGGAGTTAAGTGTGCTACTTGGGATCAAGCAGTGTTGATATGAAAATTAGAACTAAATGCCTGTTGAGAATTGCTCATTGCTTCTTTGGGGGTACGGTGACTTTCCGGGAAGACTTTGAAAGATATTCAGTAACACCTCATTAGTTTGCTTTTACTAGGAAGGGAGGTCCTCCACATAAGTGCATTTCCCCAATAACTGAAGCTAAACCCTTTAAGCACTGATGCTTTTAAAAGTTTAACCATTTCTGATGGAAATTCTTCTAAAGTGTCACACACTTTCCTACTTTCTTAGACAGGGTAAGCTGAATGTAATTCAACTTAATCTTGATGACTCAGAGGTATCCTTATGAACCTTGATTTCTGTCTCAAAAGATAAAGGTGCTTATGTTTTGGAGAAAAATTCTCCTGCCTACCCCTGCTTGATAAGGTAGGATAGACACTGATGATTAACTAGCTTGTAGATATGAAATGGAAATCTGGAGTGATATCAGGAAGCAGTGAACTACAGAAAGTGGGAAGGATTTTTTTTTAAAAATTCAGTTAGAAAGGTCAACTCAAACCAAACACTTAAAAACAGGGTGAAGTAATCACAGTCTTACACCTGGAAGGCTCTGGTTGAATCCAATCCAACAAGTCTTTATTAAGCTCCTACCATATGCAAGGTACCTGGTAGATGGTTGGGCGTATAAATAGGAAAGCATGGTAGTACCTATGCTCAGCTTATATTATAGTGTGAAAATACAACATGCAAACATTAAAGTTTACACATGGTAACTTGAGGCTGGAGAGAGCACTGAGAGCTAAGGAGATTGGGAAAGAATTCCTGTAGGAAGTGGATGGTGAACTCAACCTGGAAGGATTCAAAGAGGTGGAGATGAAGAGAGGGAGTGCATTCTTGGAGGCAGGGGACAGAAGGCCAATTTCAGAGAACAGCAAATCATCTTGTCTGGATGACCTACTTCACAGGCCATTGTTGGGTTCAAATAAGATGATGCCAAAACCCCAATTTCACAAATGAGGTGCAGAGCAGTGGTATGATAATCATTTCAGTAGCTACTGTGGGTATGTAGGCTAATTATCCCTATACTAGATGGCCCCAAATTATGGCATTTTTTGAGTTCTTAGGTATATACAGGTTGTCCCAAAAGTGTTAGTGCAGTTTTTAAGTTTATTAAGCTAAAAATATTACAATTTTCCTATCTCCTCCCTTCCTTCCTGGTTGTTAGCTATTATTTCTTTCAACGGTGTAAGCCTATTTCCAGGCTACCATTCTGATTTGCCATCATTCAGTTTTTATGGACTGGGAAACCACATAACCAAGTTTTTTTTAGAATTGTGTCTAAAGTAAAACTCTCTGTGAGGACCCAAGGAGTTACAGAGTAAAGGATTTGGGAGTTAGTGCATGGGCTTGGTGATAACTCTTTCAGTAGCTCAGAGCCTCAATTTCAGATCTTCAATTCCATCCCATATAATCAAGGTTTCTCAATGTTTGACTTTTGGTTAAACTGCATTTACAGTAAATGTGTATTAAAATTAAGTGGAAATATAATCTAGAAGAGTGAGAATTGTTCTTCAATCCTTCAACTTTTCTAATATTACAAATAAGCAGGTTATGCTTCACTAATTACCTTTGACTATTAAATTGATTTAAAAAAAAAACTCCATTGAGATTAACATGACTTCAAGGTATGTTTCCTAAAACAGTACTTACTTGTCAAGCTTTTTCTGTAATGTCTCGAGAAATTCACTGCAATGTACAATATTGTCTGGCAATCCAATGTTGAAGGCATGCTCTTTTGCCATGTGGTTCAAAAGGACAGACCTACAATGAGATTAGAGATTAGATGATATTATTTATAGAAATAATCACTAGCTAATAGTGAAGGGCAGCTTCGTGTCCCAGTGGATAAAGCACCAGGCCTGGAGTCAGAAAGACTCATCTTCCTGAGTTCAAATCTGGTCTCAGACACTTAATAGCTGTATGACCCTGGGCAAGTCACTTAACCCTATGTGCCTCAGTTTCCTCATCTGTAAAATAAGCTGGAGAACAACATGGAAAACCACTCCAGAACCTTTGTCAAGAAAACTCCAAATGGGGTCATAAAGAGTCAGACACGACTGAACAATAGTGAAGTTAGTGAAGGCAGTTAGGTGATACAGTGGATAGAGTGTTGGACCTGGAGTTAGGAATATTAGAGTTCAAATTCTACCTCAAATACTTCTTAGCTACGTGATCATGGCCAAGTCACTTATCCTTCTGTGCCTGTTCCCTCATCTGTAAAATGGGGACAATAGCACCTATCTTCCAGGGGGCTTGTGAAGATAAAATGAGATATTTGTAAAGTAGTTTGCAAACCTTAAACACTATATAAATGCTAGTAATTATTATTACCATTATTGCCTTAGAATTCATCCCCTTCCTTCATCTTCATATTTTACTAGTCTAGACCTGCATTTCTCATCTTTGAGTAATTCTTACACCATATAATTTCGGCAGTGGAAAGAATATTGTTTTTATAGTCACAGGAACTAGCTTGAAAGTTCACCTCTGCTACTTACTACCTGTGTAGACATGTCATGTAACTTCCCTGGGCCTTCACCTCTTTATCTGTAAACTAGGGGGTTAGAGTAGATGACCTCTAGTAGATAACCCCTTTCTAGCTCAAAATCTATCACTGTATTCTAGTTCATGTTGAACATCAATGAAGAAAATCTCAAAACCAAAGGGACTTTGCCCACTATAACTGTATATTAAAATTCCTACTGGCCATTCAATTCTTTCCAATCTAGATTTTTTGCCACCTCCCTTCTACAAAACTTCTTCTCAAAAGTCACAAATGACCCCTTAACCACCAGTCTAATTATTCTTTTTAAGGTTCTTGTGTGTGTGTGTGTGTGTGTGTGTGTGTGTGTGTGTTTTGTTGCTCCTAGCAGCAACCATTCCAAATGAATACTCTCTTCTCCCTTGCCTTCAGGGATACCACCCTCTCTGGATGCTCCTTCTACTATTTTTATTATTTCTTTTCTGTCACCTTCATGGACTCCTCATTTCCCCCCCCCCCTTAATAAAGGTGATCCTTAAGAATCTATTTTAGCTTCCGTCCATAGTCTCTGCCTTGCTATCTCATTCATTCTCACAGTTTCAATCACTACGTCTACACAAATGACTTTCAAAAGTTTGGAGCATTGGGAAAGAGTATAGGTCTTGGATTTAGGAAGACTTGGGTTTGAATCCTGATTCAGATACTTACTAATTGCATATCTCTGGAAAAATAATTTTAACCTCCCTGGGACTCATTTACATTATCTAGAGAATATGAAGGGTTGGACTTGATGACCTCTGGAAGAGGACCAATGACAGTACAAGGGTGATGTCTTAATTTGCATGTGAATTGGATGTAAGGCAGAGCTGTGCAAAGTTGTCAGCTTCACTCTCTCCTCCACAGTCATCGAAGTCCAGTAGCAAGACAGAAGTCAAGATAACTGGTAATGGCCTGGGACTTTGGCCTTTCTAAATTTAGGTCTTAGTTCATCTCACTTCTGGCTTTCAATCTGTCATACTATCTATCTAGCTCTGACCTCACTTTTGAGCTTCAGGCCTGTATTTCCAGCTGCCTTCAAGGGTACATCTTTATCTGGACATTCCACCTACATTAAACTCAACGTGTCCCAAACTGGGCTTATTGTGTTTCCCTGTAAATCTGCTCCTTCCTTTTGACTTCACCACTTGAGTGTATTGCTTCAATGACACTCTTTGCTTTTCCTTTCTTTCTCTTTTTTTATTCCTATAGCTAGTCCCTTTTCCCCCTCCAAACAGGAAAAAAAGAAAAGAAAAACAAACCCTTCTGACAAACTCGAATAGTAAAGCAAAGCAAATTCCACATTGGCCATGGGCTACAATGTAAATGAAAATATCAGCAAAAGCATTATGAATTCTGAGAAAATGGCAGAGAACAGATAATTAAATATGCCTTCACCTCATGGCAGAGAAGTACAGGCCTACTAGGATACGATACTGTATATATTGTCAGATAAGGTCACTATACCCGATGTTTTGCTTAATTGTTTTTCTTTGTCATAAGGAAGGGTTCATTCTGGAAGGATGATTAAAATAACAGATGTAAAAGACAAAAGCCTTGCATTAATTTTATTTTTTTAATTAAATAGAAACAATGTATGTCTCATTCAGATGTATCACGTAGCACTGTGAATTCTAGTTTTCTTGGTGTGATATCACAGAATCTCAATATAACCAATACAGTTCAATCTACAGTAGGCTAAGAATCCCTTCTACAATATACCTAAAGAACAGTGACCCAGCTTGCCATTGAGACCTCTAATGAGGGGGAACCCACTACATCTTTTTGCAATCCTTTGAACTTTTGGAAAGCTCAAATTCTTAGAAAGCTTCTCCTTACAGGAAGCTGAAATCCATTGATTTGCCTTTTAGGGCAAAGCAGAATGAATCTAATCCCTTTTATACATGACAATCCTTCAAAGACTTGAATACCACTATCATGTGCTCTCTAAGGATTCTCTTCTCCAGGTCAAACATTCCCAGTTCACTTGGTAGATTCCTGTATCACACTAACTCAAGGCTCCCTTTAGAGTGTCTGGGTTATCCAGTAACAGTAATTAATTATCATTATTGTAATAATGATAATTTAACAACTCGTCTTTCTATGGTGTTATTGTTCTTCACAATAAGAAGACAAGCAAGTCTCAGCTAAAATCCCACCTACTACAAGTAGCCTTTCTGGTTTTCTTTAATCTTTAGTGCCTAGCCTCTGAGATTATCTCCAGTTTATCCTGTATATACATTGTTGAACATAGTCGTCTATATGCTGTCTCTCTCATCAAACTGTAAGCTTCTTCAGAGTAGGAACTGACTGTCTTTTCTTTGAATTCTCAGTACTTAGCAGGATGCATAGCACATAGTAGGTGCTCAATAAATACATTTTGACGGACTGACTACAAGTATCATTATTCTCATTTTTTCCTCTTTCTTTCTTCCTTTTTTTTTTGCTTTTTGGTGAGGCAATTGGAGTTAAATGACTTGCCCAGAGTCACAGACCTATTAAGTGTCAAGTGTCTGAGGCTGGGATTTGAACTCAGGTCCTTCTGATTCCAAGGCCAGAGCTCTATCTACTGCACCACCTAGCTGCCCCTACTATTCTCATTTTACAAGAAATCCAGAGAGTTACTTGTCTATGGTGACACTGTTAGTGTTCCTAGATTGTAAGCTCATGAGAACAGGGATTCTGCCTTTTTTAAACTTTGCATTTCTCCTGGCACTTAGCACAATGCTCTGCACACAGTAGGTACCTTATAAAAGTTTACAGAATATGTGAAATATGAAAAGTATATATCTTTAAGAAGTATAAAATCAATCAAAAAGCATTTATTAAATGCCTACTACAAGTGAGACACTACGCTAGATGCTGGGCTACAAAGACAATAATGGAACAGTCTCTTCTCTCAAGGATTTTACATGCAATTGGGGTAAACAACATGTATATGTGTAGGTTTACACAGAATAAAAATATGGAGAATAAACACAAAATCACTCAACCAATCAATAAGCATTTATTAGGTGCTCACTATGAGCCAGGCACTGTTCTAAGCACTGGAGATTCAAATAGAAAAGATGAAATAATCCCTTCTCTCAAAGAGCTTATATTCTAATGGAGGAGATAAGCACTATACACACGCGCGCACACACTCACACACACACACATAAGTGCATAAAATATAGTTAAATACAAAGAAGTTAGGGTAGGAGGGCATATTAGAAATTGGGTAGGGGAGATCAGGTAAGGCTTTATGCAGAAGAGGGTACTTGAGCTGTGTCTTGAAGGAAGCTAGGGATTCAATGAAGCAGAGGTGAAGAAGAAGAACATGCCAGACAGAGGAGATGGCAAATGTATCACATACATCAACACCATTGGAGAGACAAACAACTATGAAATGATGTCTGTCATCCATATGCTGACTAGCCAGTAAGAGATGAACTAGAAGACATATAAAAGGGTAGTACATGCACCAGAAGTACATGAGTTATTGCACCACGTCTGGATTAGGAGGCCAAGTTTGTGCTTCTTTCTACTTGGGTAAGAGAATCACAGGGCTCTAAAGATAAGCTATGCATTTGCTCTCTGATCTGCAAAGTAAGTTACTCTTTATGTACTTAGTCTTCCAAGTTATGGGGAAGGAAAAGAGACAGTGCCCTGTTACATTGAAACTTATCTAGGATCATGGGAATAGCCTAAAAACAGATTAATCCTTTACACTCCGTCTCTCTCTCTCTTTTTTTTTTTTTTAACCAGGGCTGCCATCACTGCAGAAGTACAATGGCCTGAGGGCCATTTTGTATTTTTCTTTTTTTTCCCACAGATTGCCCAAGGCCAAAGAATTTATCACCCAGCGGCAAGCCTCTTACTGATGAGCTTCTTGGTGCTCAGCTAGTCTGTTCCTAGCAAAGCAGGCACAGACTGCTGTTGGGACTATACTCAGAGGCTCTCTATCATAACAGACACAACAGAGCTTGTGCTCCATTGGTGGAACCTTTGGGAATCCATGATCAACTCCATACCACTATGAGATATCAGAGTAAGACATTTAATACAGGTATCTCTTCACCTTAAAACTTAACCTTCAGTACAAGATTAGTCTTTCAACTTAAGATGTGAGGGGAAAAAAGGAAGTAAAAGTTCAGTCTCTTTTGTCTCCTGGCTTGTCTCACACAATCCTCTGATTTCCTGGCATCTGACAATTTAATGTAATTGTCACTTGATTGGAGGGAAGGGTTGTCTTTATTTACCC